ACACACACACACACACACACACACACACACACACACACACACACACACACACACACACACACACACAGAATGTGATTGACTGTAAGTTAGGGGCGATATTGGCAAAAAAAATTAAGAGTCATTGCAGCTTTTAGCTGATAACGATTATATGACAATTTATAGATGATAACTACAACTCTGTGTAGCCAACGTTGTGGCTTTGATGCACATTTTCAGGTTTATCTCGTACTCCGGTTCATGTTAGAGTTTCAGAGTTTGTTAGGTTAGCATTAGCTGCTCTGCGCTTCCTGCTGGCATTAGTCACATGCTCGCCTAATTGTGACAGTGTGATGCAATACACAATCACATAGCATTTATTGCAAAGTGGCAAATATTAATTGTTGACAGTTTTACATATGACTAGTTGCTCATGATATGATTTTGCCCAACTCTAAGCACTGCAAATATTTACTTCACCTTAAAAATAGGTTTTAGAAAAGGGGTTTGGTGGAAAAGTTATTTCATTTCATAAGTCTTTACAGCCATGTTGGTTTTGTTTTACACAGTTAAATATTGTTAAATTCCRTCTAGAAGTGCTCCAGGCTKCACTGGMAGGGCTACAGCTAGTTGCTGCTGCTATTTGTGCCAGTTAATAAGCATGTCATGTGAAATGACCACAGTGGACAGGTTTTTTTTTAAATACTGCTCACATGAACAGCAATAAATTTTTCTAAGATTGCTGAGATGTTTTTAAGTGGCAGTGTACCACTTTGGTCTTGACCTGCTCAGACTAGCCATATGCTCATKAATGCTATCAGAAATAAACTATTCTTACAAACTAAGGTCATTCAGAGAGCTAAGATAGTAATTGTTCAATTCAATTAAAAAAGTACTTTATTGATTCCAAATGGAAATTTCAGATTCATAATTTTTCATGTTCTTAACTTTTCTGCAGGACTTGCTGATTTCGAAAGATCTGAACTATCTTTGTTGAGTTTATGTCTTAAAATTCCCAAACCATGACATTAAAAAAATGTTGACAGAGAGTCCTAGGTGACAGTAGCTGATTTTAATCAATTTCAATGCAGGAAAAGCTGTTAAGAAAGAAAGTCAGAACAATATAAAGCACAGAATTAACTCAATGCACAGATATGYCAATAAAAACTAATTAAAATCTAGCCACAAGCACTATATGGCTAATTTGCATCCACCTCATWTTTATGTGGTTGATGAGACAAAAAATATGAATACAATAGGAAAAAAAAGAAAGGGCTTGGTTAGAATCCCTGAAGCAAATCTCAAAACATAATCAGCCACTGGGGAAAAAAAACCCTTTCAATTCAAACTGAAAAACATATATTAGGCATGATATCTTCATTTGGAGGCTGAATTTGCATTTCATTTGTACGGCTTAGTGGTGACTTTAAGCTCTGGTCTCTAGATAAATCTGACTGACAGCTGAGTCATTATTAAAATGATGGTGATGATGAACAAGTTAAGATTTAACATCCTTAATGTGTTTTGGACGACGCTCATGAAAATTCAGTTTAAAGCCCTCAGAGTAATAATCGGCGCAGACCGGGATTTCTGTGCCAGGAGTGAAACTCGGAGCTTTAGGCAGCTTCTGTTTTCCCCTCTGACACAACTAAAGATCGTCAGGAGAGAATAAAGTGTAGGATAGGTTTCAGAAAGGTCATTTTCCTCCTCCTTCACTACATCCAGTGAAGCCATWTCTGCTGCGAATTCTCCCAGACATTACATTATTCACGAGAAATGACAGTTTTTATTGGCAACTGCAGGAAATCATCTCAGCAATGAAATAAAGTAGATTTTCACACCACTGTTGGTTTCACAAACTGAAAAAAMAAACATTCTATGACACATCTATCGTGTCATGGTGATGGAGTTAGACTATAGACTAAAAATCATATCAGTAATATTTCACACTTAACTATGGTGAGTTGATGGACCAGAAACATTTGGATTTGTCACTATTGGTCACTGGTCACAGTATTAAAGGGGGTGAGGGTATTGTGTATGTTCCATGCACATAGTTCAATTCTACACCACGATCAAGTAACTATGTTACCTTCAGTTGTTATGAAAATGCTGTATTTTTCAARACTAAAATTGACTTTGCATCATAGCCTATCTAAATGCCTTGAAATTGTCCTCCTTTCAGGGAGGAGCTAGGTACAAATAGGTGGTGCCTTGTACCAGCAATTTAGGCAGCTCCACTTGGCTACCACAAGAGATTCAAGGATTTCTCAAACATGCGTGAATGATTCAAAGCAACACTCTGGGTATGTTTTTAATGAGGGAATGACATTATAACATGATGTAAAGCTAAAAAAAAGTCAATTTTGCATATGTCCCTTTAAAG